GCGTGTTTTCTTCTGAACGCTATGTTGAGCTTTTGCAAATGGCCCTATCCGGACACCATAATGTAGGCATACATGTAAGTAGTATAATATAAGAAAGCATTGTTGAGGATGTTAAAGGAATCTTATAACAACAACTTAAGTGCTAGGATTTTCTCTCTCCGAATACAATTTATAGAAGGGGAGGGGGGAGTAACACCCGTCCTTAATGTTTCTTCGTCTTCAATACAGGTACCTTGATAAAATAAGACACTTTTTTTAAATATACGAGTCTTTTTCTTGCTTTTAACGACATTATTGTTTTTTATTATTCATTTAATAAGAGCAAGAAATTTCACAAATGAAGGTTTCAATAAAATAAAAATTTGAAGAGAGGGATCGTGTCAAAACCGGAAGTGCTGTTAAGAAAGCATCTATCCGTGGATAAAGCATAAGGTTATCTCATGGGTAGTATCCCCCACACGTATGAGATAAATATATATTAATATACATTAATTTCATCCATGATTGAATGAAAAAGAGCATATATACATTTAGAGATGCTGATTCATTTATCTGATCTTGTTTATGATAATTACTAAATTACTTAGAATCTGTTTATTAGCAGATTTATATTCTGTTTGATATGTTTATTTCCATTCAATTTCGGAAAATTTCTCGTGTATTGTATATTGATTTTTTTTTATACTAAGACTCAACAACATTGAACTTACCCTTACCATAATATATGCGTTAATGAATTGATATTGTTTGTGAAAGAGAATCAAGCATAATTATAACCATTAATTCAATTGGGCTGTATTACTTGCATGTACTGAGATTCATGTCTTTGAAATTCATGTGATTCATTTTACAGGACAGAAATTATGAAAAATAAAATTATGTTACTGTTTTACTTTTCGTAAAGTTCAATTTATCAAAATTGTATAAATTAACTAACCCAAAAATTTTATTAAATCAAAACTTTAAGGATATTTTATTGAGAAATGATTAGCAGAGATCTACAGAGGAATTAAATAAGAAGCGGGGAAAAGGGGCATATGTACGGAAGCCCGTTGAGGCCATTTGAAAGAAAGATTTTTATTGCATTTAATCGCAATAATCATTGCGTTTAAACGCATAAGATTGCGATTAATCGCAATAATTATTGCGTTTAAACTTAAAGTACTTTGCGTTTTATCGCAAAAGATTGCGTTTAAACGCAATCTTTTGCGATTTAACGCAATAATTTTGCGATAATCGCAATACTTTTTGCGTTTAAACGCAATAATATTGCTATTAAACACAACATTTTTTTGCATTTAAACGCAATATTTTATTGCGTTTAAACGCATACAATAAGTATAAAAAACGTCAGTCAGTATTTCTCAATGATAAATTGTTGTTGCTGTATCGACCATAGATCTTACGAAATGATGACTTTAAACGAGACTGCTGATATTCTTCTTACGAAATACAATACGATACGTATTCCTAAAATTCAAAGGAGGAGGGGGAGGAGGAGGTGATGGTGAAAATAAGAGTTATGAAGATAGAGATGATGGTGAAAATGATAGTGAGGAAGATAGAGATGATGGTGGAAATGAAAGTAATGAAGATAGAGATGATGGTGGAAATGATAGTGAGGAAGATAGAGATGATGGTGGAAATGATAGTGAGGAAGATAGAGATGATGGTGGAAATGAAAGTGAGGAAGATAGAGATGATGGTGGAAATGATAGTGAGGAAGATAGAGATGATGGTGGAAATGAAAGTGAGGAAGATAGAGATGATGGTGGCAATGAAAGTGAGGAAGATAGAGATGATGGTGGAAATGATAGTGAGGAAGATAGAGATGATGGTGGAAATGATAGTGAGGAAGATAGAGATGATGGTGGAAATGAAAGTGAGGAAGATAGAGATGATGGTGGAAATGATAGTGAGGAAGATAGAGATGATGGTGGAAATGAAAGTGAGGAAGATAGAGATGATGGTGGAAATGAAAGTGAGGAAGATAGAGATGATGGTGGAAATGAAAGTGAGGAAGATAGAGATGATGGTGGAAATGATAGTGAGGAAGATAGAGATGATGGTGGAAATGATAATGAGGAAGATAGAGATGATGGTGGAAATGAAAGTGAGGAAGATAGAGATGATGGTGGAAATGATAGTGAGGAAGATAGAGATGATGGTGGAAATGATAGTGAGGAAGATAGAGATGATGGTGGAAATGAAAGTAATGAAGATAGAGATGATGGTGGAAATGAAAGTGAGGAAGATAGAGATGATGGTGGAAATGATAGTGAGGAAGATAGAGATGATGGTGGAAATGAAAGTGAGGAAGATAGAGATGATGGTGAAAATGAAAATGATGGAGATAGAGATGATAGTGGAAATGAAAGTGATGAAGATAGAGATGATGGTGGAAATGAGAGTAATGAAGATAGAGATGATGGTGGAAATGAAAGTAATGAAGATAAAAAAATGATGGTGGAAATGAAAGTGATTCAAATAATTGTTAGTTTTTAAAGTGAAAATGAAAGTAACTCGAAATATTTACTGGTAAGATTATATTGAACCGATTTTACAAGAATGTGCTACAGGATTAGGGTTAGTCAATATGAAGTTCTTGTACAGTTGGCACACAAAATCATGGATTTTCATTGTTGTTTAATTACGTCATCTCTCACAAATTGAAAACTTCTTAATATCAATTCTCTATAAAAATCAAAATTTTAAATAGGGTCGTGGACATGACATATCTCCGATTTAGCTGAAATTCACACCATTTACTACAATTGGTATGTCTTTAATAAATATGATGTTAAAGTCTAACTTTTCAATTTGGTTGCCATGGTAACAGGGATGTTATATTTAGAACCCTCTGATTAAGCAAATTTTGCTCCGTTTTAAATTAAATTTGTGCACATTCAATTAATTAGTAAAAATTCACATGAAAATTATATTATGTGAGCTCATATTACTTAAATCTGAGAAATTAATTTCATTCAAAGATATTTGAATGAAGATTAAGCGAATTTTCATTGCAGCATTAAGGTTGTTAGCAAATTGGCAATTTGCCAAATTTGTCTTTTTTAGTCATATTCAATGAAATTTTTCACCATTTTGACAACTGATATATTTGTAACCATGTATCATTAAATAAACTATATATTCTAAGGTTTTATGAGAATAAAAAAAATTAATGGGTAAATCAAAAACTTTCTAGTAATTATTGCATGAAAATTGGCAATTTGCCAAAATTGACTTTTTTAGTCATATTCAATGAAATTTTTCACCATTTTGAAAAATGATATATTTGTAACCATGTATCATTAAATAAACTATATATTCTAAGGTTTTATGAGAATAAAAAAAAATTATGGGTAAATCAAAAACTTTCTAGAAATTATTGCATGAAAATTGGCAATTTGCCAAAATTGACTTTTTTAGTCATATTCAATGAAATTTTTCACCATTTTGACAACTGATATATTTGTAACCATGTATCATTTAATAAACTATATATTCTAAGGTTTTGTGAGAATAAAAAAAATTAATAAATTAATGGGTAAATGTACAGCTTTCTAGAAATTATTGCATGAATGACCCCCCCCCCCCTCCATTAATCACAAATAACAGAGAAGATCATCTAACAACATGTTTTACCAAACTGAACAAATTGTTATGTAGTATGAATATATGTCAAGTATTTAAATTTCTTTTCAATAATTAAATAGAACTTCTGAAATTAACTCAGTGACAGGTAAATTAAAATGTTGCCATGGAAACAAATCAGCCTTCTAGTTAATTTAATGTAAATATGAAATAAAACAAGTGAGTTTCAAAAAATTCTTACAAATCTTTTAATGTCCAATCCTTTTGATTTATTCACTAAAATATGTTCAAAACAATTGTTTTATGGTTAATTTTTTAAAATGTATAATTTAAGTAAAAAGGCAAACTCATATTTAATAAATGATATGAAAGTATTTTATGAAAATATGAAAGTAGGTCAGACAATATTATGTCAAAACAAGTTGGCAAGACCATCTTGATTATAATGTTTGTTTGCCCTCTCCCAGCTCAGGGTAAAATTATTAAGTCACCTCGTTAGGTAGGTTGTAAAATCTTTTTCCCAGAAAATTTCATAATATTTGTTGACGAGATAAGATGGATAAAAAAAAAACCATCCTGTCTTGCAATGTAAAAAAAGTTTTGAATTTTAATTAGTCTGTTGGGGGAAGGCAGCCAAATTTGTTTAAATGACCTTATATGCTAAATATTGTGGAATTAATTTTTATTACCACATTGCTTATCAGCATATTCAGATGATCAGTTACATGTATACTATGTTCTTTTAATGGGTATAAATATTTTTAACCATTTGACCTTGACCTTAGACATTGACTGACTTAAAAAAACTTTAACCTTAACCACAACTTTTGAAGTTGGACTAGATTTTCATATTTCACAGGTGTTTTACTTGTGGCAAGACCTTTCTTGGGATACCTCGTGGGAGTCTTCATATAAGCTGCAATGTATGGAGGAATCAGTGTTTCACAATTAATCTTGTTCTCAGTTTTGTTAAAATGTATTCATATATATTCTAAACATACATAACATACTGTGTGAAGCCTGCCAATATAAAACTCTAAATTTGTGAGCCCATGTGGGGGTATATAATAAATCAGTATACCACCTCTCCTGCAGAGAGGGGATATAAAAAGGGAAGAAACTGCTTTGCATAAAACTGCTTTTATAGAAAAAAATAAACAAGACATAAATTGGAATGTATGCTTCACTTAAACAGTGACATTTTTTGAAAATACAAGAAATCAATTTAGAATACACATATTCTCTAAGGAAAACAGATGCCCTGCTTAAAAAAATTTTTGCTAAAATGTGTTCCTTCATATTCTCTCATTTGATGTAAGCTTGGTTTCCTTGAATTCACATTTCTTTATGTCCTTTTGTGTAAGTTTGAAAAGTAGCTCAGCCTTGCAGTATTGATTTGCTGTGGATTTTAGTAATGATCATTAGAAAACCCTCTCTATGTCCATCTTGCACCAGTGACAACTTTTACTGGATCCTCTTTTCTTTCTGTTATTTTTCCTACTTTGTAATATTCATGTAAAATTTACTTCCAGTCCACTGTGAAATTTTTTTTTTTTTGGGGGGGGGGGGGGGGGGTTGTATGTCCTCTGCTCTGGTCATCTCTATCTGTTCACATGAAAATAAAAAAAAATAACATTAATTTTTGGTCACTGTGGATAAAAATTCATTTAAAAATTGTTTCAAAAACTTAAAACTGGAATCTTAAAATTTTGCTATATATATAAAACATATACATTTTCAACCTATAAACATTATTATCTCCCTTTATGCATTGTTGTGGCAATCATGTCTTAAGTCACCATGAATCCATGCAACTTAATACACACTACATGTACCTGTGTGGTCTCCTTGCTAGAGGATCTGTAATCCTGAGAATCTTCATTAGGAAAATCTTGCAAGGGCTGCAATGATCAATTTAAAATTATTTTTTAATTTGAAAGTTTGGGTTAAAATCCTGAACATCATATATATATTACATGTACCTTATATTTACATGTTATCCTGAAAAATTTTCTGAATCAAGAGGAATGATTGATAAAGGAGTGGATGTAATGTTGTCATCAAGCATTTTTTTTTCAATTTACATATAAAGCTTTTCTGCAGTTTGGACAAATTGCCAGAGATATAGAGACTAAGAGTAGAAATGAATTTGACAACAATTAATTTCTAAAGTGGAAAATAAAATGTATTTATATAATCATAAATTAATTGTAATAAAAACATACATGTTTTATGGATACTAACGTAATGTGGTACAATTTATTTTGTTCTTTAATGCGACTATTTTTAATTTGTACAATATGTCCTTGACATGTTAAGTACACAGCATCAGACTGATCTCATCTGTACAGATCAATATTTTCAAACTAAAACTATTCATATTTAAAATGTGTGCAAGATTGATATGCCTGCAATATATAGCTGAAAAACAGTGATCAGTAAAATAAAATTATGAGACAGAAAGCTGCATCTTGGAAAGTACAAATGGAGTTGCCATATTCTCCCTTACCAAACTGATATGTTTGCTGCAGGCCTGCAGCAAGTCTGCTGCAAGCTTGCAGCAAACAAAATTGTTCGCAGGAAGAAAATTTTCTTCTTCGCAGATGATTGCCGCTAGCTGCGATCTTGCGGCAAACATTGCAGCAATTGCTGCAAGCTTGCAGCAAATTCGCAGGAACCCAACATGTTTGCAGGAACATTGCAAGAAACATACACGCCAATTTAATGTTCGCAGCAAGTTCGCAGGAAACATTTCATTATTCAAACGTTTGCAGGAAGTTCGCAAGAACAGTAAACAAGTCAAATCAGCCAATGAAACGCAGATTGTACTGGGTCAACATAAAACTGGCCATTTTGAAATGTTGGAATTGAAGTTGTACACGTTTCTGTATTTTGTTACGAATATACATCGTTTTGAATGATTAAAAGTGCCAAACTCTGGATGTAGGTGTTCATTCTATCCATGATATCTAATTGGTAAGAAATGATTTTGATTTATTTTGATATTTGTAAGAATATTTCGTAAAAGCACGTTTGAGTAATTGGTGTAAATGCTAGGTCAAACCTAAATCTGTTTCTTATGAATTTCTGTCCTCTTTTTGATATCATATGTATATACTTCTTAAAAGTATTAATGGACCCAAATCAGTTAAATGTTTTCATATTAATTAGTAAATGTGTAATCACTGAAATATTCATTAAAAATTATATGTAAAGTTCTTAAAGTTCTGTTCATATAAAAAGCTATCATGCACTTTAATTTTAAAAAGGTATGAAAACTTTGTCTAGGAACATAAGGAGAGCCTATCATAACTTCATAAAACTGCATTATTTCAGAAACATGTGGTGGATTTTCTCTAAACTTAACAGATTTAGGTCAGGACAAAGGCTTTCTGTGAACTTGCTGCTTGTACAAAGGAATGTGCCAAAACCATAAGGAAATTGTTTGCTGCAAGTTAGCAGCAATGTTTGCTGCAAGCTTGCAGCAATGTTTGCGGCAAGCTTGCAGCAATGTTTGCGGCAGGCTTGCAGCAATGTTTGCCGCAAGCTTGCAGCAAGGTTTCCTTATTTGGAAAATCCAATGTTTGCTGCAGACTTGCAGCAAACCTCATTTGCATGGTAAAATGTTTGCAGCAAGCTTGCTGCAGACTTGCCGCTAACTTGCTGCAAACACCAAGGCTTTGTATAGACTGTCATGCTTTCTTTGGCTACATTGCCGCAAGCTTGCAGCAATGTCTGCAGCAAGCTTGCAGCAATGTTTGCTGCAGACTTGCAGCAAATATTTGCAGGAAGGCAATATTTTCGGTAAGGGCTAACACCCCTGGATAGATTTCTTTTCCTACTTTACAATACATCACCTTGCAGAGCAAATAAATTCATTGTATCAAGGTCCCAAAAATGATTTCACAATAGTATGACAAAGTATATGTACTTAGATCTAGAACACTATTAGCATTTGTAAATCTGTGTGTCTGCATGTACTTTCATAATTTTACTTACACTTTTTTAATCAATTCTTTAAAATATTCTACAGTCCTGATATTGCTTAAAATTTCAAAAAATCTAACACACTATTCAGTTATCATTGTCAGAAGTCAAAGGTTTAATATTTCCGAGGTATGATTTCTACAAATCCTGTTTGTAAAAATAGATTGGACACAAGCATATTATAATTTGGAAAAATAAATTCATACAAACAATTTTCTTCAAATATACTGAATTTTATAGAAAATAAAATACCAGTACCCAAAACGGGCACATATATTGCACAGTAGTATTTGATTCAATGTCATGTACATGTAATATGTGCAACTGTGCATCCAAGTTTTCATGGTTTTGTTTGTTTTTATTGTCTTATATATCATTATACAGTCAGATACCTAATCCGAGATTCCTCTGACTCTAACCCCTGCTTTTATATTGTAACTTGTGCGCACAAGTCACAATATAAAAGCAGGGGTTAGAGTCAGAGGAATCTCGGATTATCAGTTACCATGCAGGTGCACACATGTAGGTACATGTGATACCTGAATAGAATTATGAATAAAAAAATACTTACACATTGTAATCGGGATCGGTCGGGGACTTCCACACCACTACATGTATCTCTCGATCTCTATTTCAAAGACATCTTGAAGGGAACAGCTAAAATCCTCTCGGCCTTCGCCCCCATACCACCCTGATTTCCTCATATTTTCTTTTCTACGAGTAGCTATACGTGAAATACTCATCATGTCCATCATGTCCAGATCAACTCTTTGGCTTTTCTTAAAGATTATCCCAACTTTGTCAACTGTTTTTCATCAAATTCTGAGTCTCTTGAGGTAGAATTTTCATGAACAAGATGTTTCAAAACAAGAAGAAAAACTGCAGATTTCATTGTCTGCCATCTTGTTTACAATTTACACATTTTGTATTCTTCAATGCCGAAGAGCTCCAACAAGGGAAATAACTCGGATAGAGAAAAAGCACATTTAGACCAACTTTATAGTGTAATAAAACGTTTATTTTTCATTTACCCATAAATGTTTTAAATGATATTTGCAAAATAACATTTCTTGAATCTAAATCTCCCTACTAGGAATTTTCACATCACTTGTCAAAGTCTTTAAATATTAAGTCTAACAAGGGAGGTAACGAGGACTAATTATTCATTTTTTGGGCATCAGAAAATTAGAAATTGTAAAATTTTTGTGACCTTGGCTATTTTTTACATAGTTTTGATTGTCATGAAGGATATAAAAAAATATGAACATAAACAGCTTTGTCTAGTAAATATTTTTTTTTATATTATTGATAAATAGCAAAATCCACTATAATTTACACCTTCTAGTCCCGTTTCCATGGCAACCGGATAAACTACCATGCTTTCTTTCATATAGTCAATCTTTTCATTCATTGAAGTTTCAGTAAGAAAAAAATTAGCTGAATCGAAGACATCGCATGGCCACGTCATTTTGATATTTACGTAGAATTGGTATTAATAATTTGCATAGCACATACAAGTAACTCGTTTGAAATGACGAAATTTGAAAACCTGCGTTAAAACCTTTATGTTTGTCTTGTTGACCATTGAAAAAATGCACAAGAAGCACCGGAAGGGTTGTAATAATGAAGGCAATTATTACTATCGACTTATTTTTGGGAAATATTGATATGACAAAGACGAAACCGGTCATGAAGGAATTTCAAGAAAAAAGTACACGAATATTATTACTAATAGTTACTTAATGTTTTTGTGACAGGGTACGGTATGATACCTGGTTAGTAAATTTCATACCTCAACGTATTATCTTTGGTTTATAAATTCCATTGCAAATTGGTGCACATGTTTTTGACGTCGCAATTAGCATTTAAAATACATGTGAGAAAAATAATTTGTATGATTTTTCTGCATGGAATATCTTTTTTTTTCAGGAAAATCACAGGGCAAGATTTGTATGGGAACCATAACTTGTTATACCCACACTTTCTAAAGAAAGTTCGGGTATATTATTGTTACTCATGTCCGTCCGTCCGTCTGACCGTCCGTCCGTCCGTCTGTCACACTTTTCTTCCCCGAACTCCTCCTAAATTTTACACAGTAGCCTAATTATCTTTTGGTAGATGGTTGGTATTTGTAGATGTGCAGTAAGGTTTCGAAATTTTGATTTTGCTTCGGGGGTCAAATGGGGGTCGAAAAATGATGTTTTTTATGCAAAAAGCCCCGTCTTTCCTGAACTCCTCCTACATTTTACTCAGTGGCCTAATCATCTTTGGGAGCTGGTTGGTGGTGTCATGTAGATGTGCAGTAAGGTTTCGGATTTTTTATTTTGCCCGGGGGGGTCCAATGGGGGTCGAAAATGACGTTTTTTTATGCAAACTGCTCCGTCTTCCCTGAACTCCTCCTACATTTAACATAGTAGCCTAATCATCTTTTGGGAGTTGGTTGGTGGTGTCATGTACACTGTAGATGTGCAGTAAGGTTTCGGAATTTAGATTTTGCCCCGGGGGGCCAAATGAGGGTCGTAAAATGATGTTTTTATGCAAAATGCCCCGTCTTCCCTGAACTCCTCCTACATTTTACTCAGTAGCCTAATCATCTTTTGGGAGATGGTTGGTGGTGTTATGTAGATGTGCAGTAAGGTTTCGGAATTTTGATTTGCCCCGGGGGTCAAATGGGGGTCGAAAAATGATGTTTTTTATGCAAAAATCCCCGTCTTCCCTGAACTCCTCCTATATTTTACTTAGCAGTCTAATCATCTTTTAGGAGAGTTAAATATTTTGAAAATTAGGTAAAACATCAACGTCAAGGGGTAAAAACATCATCGCATGCTGGGAAACATCTTGAATTCTTAATAGTAATTAATGTACATGTAAAGCAAATGCTACATTTTTGAAAAGTAGGTTAAGCTTCAAGGTCAAGGTCACAGAGTCAAAAGTCATGATTTATTTGGAAAGGTCTTATCACAGGTAATAATATACATGCATGTATCATATGAATGCCCTAACTTTTCTCTTTCAAAATGATGAATTAAAAACATATAATTTTTTGCAAGTAGGTCAAACTCCAAGGTCACGGGTAAAAAAAATCATGCCATTGTCACAGGTAAATACAAATACATATGTTTAATATGAATGCCTTGTCTCTTCTTATTCAATAGATATGACTGTGATGACCAAGGTTAAATTTATTGAGACAGATGGACAGACTGACATACAAATGTACATATTTCTATGTGAATTAGTTAAAATTGGCCTAGTGGTTCTAGAGAAGAAGTTAAAAATGTAAAATCTTTCCAGACAAACAGATGGACGGCAGACGTTATGTGATAAGGAAACAAGAAAAGCTCAAATGAGTATTTTGAAAGGGTTACCATGGTTACAGTATTTGAAAAAAATCTTTTTTTCATGCAATTTTTTGAGAAGCTGAAAATGTGTGACATATATCCATTGTTAAAAAATTGAACATTTCAGAAAACAGTATGATTGAAAATAGTTAATCAAGGTGTTTTGAGTAGCAAAATAAAACTAGTAAACTTTTATAGCTAATTCAACCACAGAACTTAGTCAATTTTAAGATGCACAACCTGTTCAACTCTTATATTAATTATTTTAAAAATATATCATCATTTCTGATTAATGAGAGAACAAGAGATATGACCAACATGTTCATGTCTTATATTTTCTTAGTAATTTGTTTGTTTATTGTGAAAACATCTCTCTCGGCAATGTTTCCCTCATATGGAGACACCACCACTTAAATATAATAAAGACAAGATGTGTTTGTGAAACACTGATGCCCCCGTATGGCAGCCTATGGTGAGGGTCGAAGTTTCTAAAATGTATGTCAAACTCAAAGGTCAAAGTCAAAGGGTTAAAATTGTTGGTATCAAAAAAAATGTCTTGTCACAAGGAACACACATGTGAAATAAGAAATCCCTAGTACTTCCTGTTCAAAAGTTATTTGCTAAGGTCAATTTTTTTTTTAAAGTGGGTCAAAATCTATGGTCAAGGTCAGACATATTTATACCTGTTGAAAGTTCACAATGATACACAATGTTAAGCATGAAATCTCCAGCACCTACTGATCAAAATTTAGGCCAAGTTTAAAGTTTGATATTTTTCTTGTAAAAATGGAAAAAATCCAAGGACAAGGTCAAGAGATCAAGAGGTCAAAATTGGTGGTACCCAAGTAAAAGGTCTTGTCACAAGGAATTAACCTATGAAATGTGGAAGCAATGTGTAGAGCCCATGCAACTTAAAACTTATGGGCAAGGTTAAAGTTTCTGCGGACAAACAGACAGACATAATATAAACACTAGAAACAAAATATGTATGTAGCCAAATGGAAAAAAATCTACTATTTTGGAGCCACAAGATCGATTGTAATTTCAGGGTTAGGGAGATTGGATCCCCATTTGGAATTTGTTTTGTTATTTGAAAAAGAATGTATACTGAAGCAAATAAAAAATGACTTTGGACATCCTCCCCCTTAGAAAACATTGACCCAACGACCCCACTATCATTGTTTTTATTTTGTTGATTTGTTTTCAGTTTGTTTTGTTTTTTGTTTTGTTTTTTTTTTTTTGCTTATCAGGATATTTTGGGCTGGATATTTTTTTACTGAGGTGTGAACCCCCTCCCACCTCACGAAAAAAATCTGGATCTACACCAGTAACTGAATGTCACATCGACAACGGGAGATAACTTCACAATGTGAAATTCGCCTACTGTGGCATGCGATGATCTTTGACCCTATTTGAACTTTAACCTAATCATTTGCATTTCGGTTTATTTTACTCCAATCTATACTTTAACTTGTACTTACCGACTGTCATAGGTCCTGTCAACTTCATGAAATATAATCCAATTAAAACACAAAATGAATTATTTCAATACACACCAAACTGTACCATGTGATATCCCATTCGGCAAACCCTGGCTGATTCAATCGCCTTATCAGATGAAGTGGGAATCGGCCTAGGTGTGTCGAGTGGTTCTTAATCTAAAAATATGATAATGGGTGACACAACCCAATGTGATGTAGAAATTTTCCAAAAGGTGTCTACATTTAAACATGTATAACAAAGTACAAGAACAATTTTAAATTAATTCAATAAAAAATGATGTTTTAACTTTTCCATCTAGCCTATTTAAAAAAAACGCACGTGCCGTGTGTTTGTGGTGTCGGGGGGGGGGGGGGTATTAGTAAATTTAATCAAAGTACTGAAAGTACTGGGAAGCGCTAAGCATGGTTCAACTAAATCCGCCTCCTGATCGCCTTGACTGTTACGTTAAATAACATCGAATGTCAGTTGTGTTACTACAACAAAGTCTTAAAAAATGCAAAAAAAAAAATAATAATAAAATAAAAAAAAATAACAAAGAGAATCTAATTTACTATCTCTGTGCAATTTTATTAAAGAAAGTGATTTACTTTTTAAACCTTTCTTTGTTGTCGCACCATAGGACAGTAACACTGTTACCCATCCGAAGAACAAGATTACCTGTGTTGAATTATGGATCCAGGTTTCTGCGATAAAATTGAATTTATATCAATGTTACAGTTCGAATTTTTTTTCTTCTGACTTATCTCATTTCAGATAATGTATATAGCTCTGCATTAGCTGGAAAGTTGTCAATTAACGATTTGTAATATGACTTATTTTGTTTAAACTGTTTTTAGTGTATTTTAATTTTTTCTCCACTTCATAAACATTTATAAAGTTATAATTCATATAAATAAGGTTTTACAAAATAAAAATTTCTAGCACAGGAGCTTGTAATATATACACACAAGCATTACAAGTTTCAGGGTATATAAACAACGAATAAAAATTGAACTTTTAAATTTTATTTTGAATATGCTACACTTGAATAACATGATAACAATATTTTTTTTCAATATTTCACATTTATTGTGATACCAATCCAACCTCGTGCAGCACGTTGCTATCATCATTGTATAACAAAAATCCCCGAAGCCTTTACTTCATTTTTTCAGATTACTTTGCTACATGTATATATCAATTTTGGGTATAAAGATATTGCATTTTTCTTTTTGTCATTTTGATGAAAAACCATTATTATCCTTCACACAGGTACTTGTGGACAAGACCACCCCTCCTCGATATTCACCCCCAGGGCTTGTTGGACATTTTTTTTTCACAAATTATATTTATTACACTTATTCATCATGTGTACAATATGAAAAGAGTTCTGTCCACAAGTCCATGTGACCCTTCATCTCTGACTCTCACACACGTGAATTATAGTTTATTTTACCGAAATTTGAAAAAAAAAAGTTTGGCCATTCTGTTTCTAGTGTTACATTTGAAGCCGATTTGTAAATATTTCTTTTTAAAATAAAATGTTAAATCAAATACTCTTCTACTTAGAAAAAAAAATATCAAATAAAAATTCGTTCGCATTTTTCTTGAACTCATTTTGGCGAAAATACATGTACTTTAAAATGCTTCAATTTCTTACTATCATGTAAAACAGACTGAAAAGAATGAAATAGCCACAACACCCAAGCGTTCAGTGAAAAGGATTTTTTGCATCAAAATATTTTGTTACAGATAAAAACTACAAAACAAGTATAGACTCTATATAAATGCGTTCAAGTTTGTGCTATTAATTTGATGCTGTGAATCATTATCATTGATAGCCCTCTGCGTAATGCAAACTTGTGTGATAATAAAAATCCTCGTTTGTATTTACATTCAATTTGTTTGAAATAAAGGCGTATGCAGAGGAGGGCGTGAAAAATTATGTGATGAAACTACAAAATGTAGATACAAACTAGATATCTAGCTATAGTTAAACAATTTTTTATGGAATTATACTTCTAAAAGATTTAATTCCACTTTGATTTCTTAATACTCATTGAAATCTTAATGAGATTTTTAAATACACGTGCGCATATATCTTTTTTCGGTACTTGTATCAATAAATGAACATGTATCAAATGGACATTTAGTTTTTCGAATTACCACTGCAGAAATAAGATTTGTGACATAATTAGTGTTTGCCAGTACTTATTTCAAAATACGCACCATATTGTTCAAAGATAAAAACGCCCAAGGATATCCACTTAACCATTAAAAATATATATATAATAATCACCTTTAGAAAGAATCATATTACACCACGGAGATAATTTAGGTCAACAATAGTAGCCCTTGCAAAGGCATTGCAGAACCCATTTGTTTACATAATTATGTTATTATTATTATTATTTATAGAGGGATCTTAGTGCTAAATGGATATTAAGTACAGATACGAAATTTGAACAAGAATAGCAGCCATGTAAAGAATATACATAATAAATATTCATGCTAAGTTTAAAATCCTACAATTCTACATAGATAACACTTTGCATCACGCGATATGCTGTATATACCGGTATACTAACTGAACGAACGTTTTTATCTAATCGTGAAATCTCACACATTCAATTTCTGCATGCTTTTTTCCATATATATCATAAATGAAATGATTGTATAATAGAATTCATTTTAACATCTCACGGGTAGACGATCTGTCCTTTCAAAACAACTAGGTATGTAGCATAATTATATTAACTAGTCGAGTAAGTTGACTAGCAACTATGGTATTGAATGCAGCCCTGATATATGCGGTCGGTAGAGGGCGTTGATAAAAAGATCGTGAAAATATCTGAGACACCCTATAAAGCACTTGCGCATGCGCGCTTAGCGCTTAAAAAGTTCCTATTATGAGCAAAATATTTATCAAAATCAAATTCTGTTTTTTCAGACTGGTAATGATTTAAGTATATAAAATACATATAAGAGGTTCTGAGTCATAAGTCATATATGGTCACAGGGTCTGAGAATTTCATACTCATTTTGACGAATACATGTTCAGCGTAAATTATAGAATAATTTTGACTTTTCCCTTGGAAAGCCCAAGCTGTAGGAGTGTTTATCTAGAGGCAAACACCTTAGTGCGGGTGTTACTGTCTCATGACAGCATCTAGTTCTTTCATTTTACAGACACGTGCCATATATCACCCGGGGAAAATGGCAGTGAGTTGATAAAATAAAAGCACTTTTTACAATCAAACTTCGATTTATATCATCTATTTAATTTTAATATTTTAAAAGTTTTTTACCTCACTTTTAGATATGTAATTATTGACAGAATGCCATCTGCAATGTTTAGAGATAATTTAGGAATTTTTGAGGATGGCTGAGAAAAGTAAATAATTGTCATCTGATGTTAAAAAAATAATTTTAGAAAATGAGAGATATAGATTTCTGATGCACTCAACATTTTCCAATTTAACAGTTTCAAATGGTTACGATGTTAAAAGGAGGGGAACGCAGAAAACAAAGCAGACGATTATGGATTCATTATTCTAGAGATAAAAGATCTTTAGTGGATTTTAATAATTTAAAACTCTTCTTAATGATTTGATCAACTGATTTAATCAGGACATTTCTCAAACTTCGATGTCTTTAATTGATTCCATGCTTTAGAGTTATAAGTAAATGCCAGAGAAGCTACACCAATGTCCACCATAAGCATATTTGCCATCGTTTGATCTGATCCATACTTTATCTCGTTTCTTCATTTTTATGTTGGCATTATTTGATGTCATAACATAGCCAGTGAGGCCTCTGCCATCCGCTTGGTTATAAGCAATGAGTTTACCGCCGTGTACAAGCTCACTGACAAAGTAAGTACTGCCCGCAGACATTATAGTCCAGCTAAAAGTATAGACACCATCCTCAGGGGCGGTAAACACGCCAGTCTTCTTATCATAACCATTTCCTTCATTCAAGGTTACCTTGTCAAATATCACTGTCTGTTGACTTCCCATGTTTTCCAACGTTTTGGTTAGTGACGCTTGAAAAGCAATTGATCTTTTCCCTGCAATTAAAATAAGAAATTTTCAATGTTAAATCCTATCATTCTCAAGTCGTATTTTATAACTCTTAGAGCCAGTCTATTTATTTATTTTTTCCTCAAATAGAACTTTGATAACAAAATAAGGAAAATGTCTACTTTGAAATTACTTTGGAATACTGTTCTTTAATCTGCATATGTATCACTGAAATTATTAAATAGTAATAAACCGACTTGAAAGTTTAAGATAAAGTTCTGTACCTTTAATGCCATCTTTACAGCTTAGGTTTTGATATCCAAGTCCAGTACAGATGGTCCGGTAGTTGTTGTATTTGGTAACGATCTGCTGTGGTGTCTCCTTAATGGAACCAAACACGGCAGTGACCAAGATCAGCAGCAGTACAAATCCATTGTGGAAACTAAGTTATATTATACATGATACATTATATCATATTATATTATATCATATTATAGAGCTTAAAAGAATCAAAAATATATATAGAAAAAAGCAAATATACCTTTTCATTTTCTCCGTTTTGTGTATGTCACAAATTGAAAAAAATATGAAAAATGAAGTATAATCGGGGGTATTAAAATATATGAAGCATGTAAATACCTATAGGTAATCACGACACAAGTATCAAATTTCAAAGAACAATCATGCAATACTGTAATTTAGGTGGTGAAAAAAATGACAAATTTTTACGCTTTGACACAAATCTAGAGGAATAAACATGCTTTATGTGCGCTTTATGTGCGCACAATTTCTAAAACGAGGTAAATTATTAACAAACATCTCGATGAAACAAGAACAACAATAGTCTCGTTAATAGTGATCATTTCGTAAGTTCTATGGTCGATACAATAATCTTGTCCGCAAATACAATATATAAATAAGTAAAATGCTGACTGACTTTTTTGTTGCTTATTCTTAGACCATTATATTTATACCGAAACGAATATTTCCGTTATTTACATGATCACGACCAGCAGCAAACGACGGGTGTGACCGGTTGGCAGGGAATGTTCACTCCTCCATGGCACCTGATCCCACCTCTGATGTCTAGAGGTTCATGTTTGCTCCACTCCTGATTTTTATTGTTTAAATGACTTTTGAGCTTGAAAACTGTTCGTTGTATCCATATATTTCATAAATGAAAAGAAGAAAATACTTGCTTCGCCTTCAACTCGACATTTAAATATCTCGACATATTGTCTATAACATTAGTTACTTCCATTCATATATGACGCCGCTAAATAACCCAAAGCGGTTGAAAAAAGATACTACATAGGCTTACACATCGTTTTCGTATTTGGAAATTTTCTAGAGAAAAATTCAATGGTTACCTTACATCATTTATTCAGTTTTAAGTCATTTCACAAGTTTGACAACCACCCTGTCAGAAAGTACAAACTATTTAAATTCAAATGCTGACTTTTACTCAAATGTTTAGGAAAAGTTATTCTTGAAGAGCATGCACTAAGTACGAACTGTTTCTAGTTTCTAAAACGAAGAAAGCCATTGAAAAGCAAGCTGATGTAACAAAAATTTCATTGAAAGTCACCATTTCGAAAGTTCTACAGGTCCGTATTTTCTCAGAATGCTCCCGAATAGTTTGGTTTACATTGACTTTACACCTTGAATACTGTTCGTAATCTCCATATTGTTTTTTGTTCGTTACAATGACCTTATGAATAAGAACCAAGACCAATCAGTCATTAAGTTGAGTGCTGACCCACGCTTTCAAGCAAAGCAAACATTATTTACACATTGAATTCTCTACAGATTTCTTTACTGGGGATGGACGTCGACTTCAAAAATTCAACCATTACTCGGCACTAAGGGCCATTGAGCAGTGCCAACACCTGACGTGATATGGGGTCTGGGTTTTAAGGTCTCATCCGAAGACCCACAACGAATTTCGAATACCTGCAGAATATTTCTCCTTCCTGTTTATGTTCTTTTTAACCCTACAATTATAATCCTACTGGACACGTTATTGCTGGTCACGTGAGTATAGTAAATAATGAAGACATTAACATTTATTCTAAAAGGGTCTAAATATAGGGAATCTTGATCTTTTAAATGGCGTCATAATTTCATAAAATTAATGGATTCTGTGTAAAATTACGCCAGGCAATGGGCAAAACATGAAAAAAAGAAGACATCGGTACGTTGTCAAAATAGATTAAATGTATCATATGTATGTTAAAATCTCACATTAAGCGATTGTGGGCAAAATGAAAACAAACTATTCTTCTGAGTTCAGTGATTCAGAAGTGAAAAAAAGAAGTATATTTATACGATCAGTGTGTACCACGTTGACATCAAAAAGATGCTTGAGTTTCTGATTGATAATATCTATGTTGTTATTGGAGATCATGTCTTTCAACAATATATTGGTATTCCCATGCATACCAATTACGCCCCGTTATAAGCAGACCTATTTTTGTATTCATATGTACAAAGTGAAAAGAAGAAAACACTTGCTGTGGCCTTCAACTCGACATTTAGATATATTGACGACGTATGTTCAATTAACAATGATAATTTCCATTCTTATGTCGATACGATATATCCTGGTGAACTTGAGGAGAATAAGAAACCATAGAGTTTGACACATCTGTTTCATACTTGGATATCACCTGCATACGGAGTTTATACATCTCAGCTGATTCGATATGCAAGAGCATGTTCTACGCATGAACAATTTCTAAAGCGAGGTAAGTTATTGACAAACAAGATGATGAAACAAGAATATAACAAATCTCGTTAAAAGTAGTCATTTCGTAAGTTCTTTGGTCGATAAAATGACCTTGTTAGCAAATACAGTTTATCATAAATGCTGACAAGAAGGATATGGAGATAACGAACAGTATTCAATCTCAAAGTCCATAAAACAATACAAAACAAAAGCAGAGCAAACACGGACCTCCGAAACATCAGAGGTGGGATCAGGTACATGGAGGAGTGAGCATGTCATGCTGACCGGTCACACCCGCTGTGTGCTCGTTGTCATGATCGTGAAATAACGGAAAAATCCGTCTTCAATCCAGTGTATAAATAATGGACTAACAATTGGTATGAACAACGTCAATCAGGATTTGACTCAATGATAAATTGTATTTGCTGACAAGGTCATTGTATCGACCATAGAACTTACGAAATGATGAATTCAGAGTACTTCTGTGTGCAATCAGAATCTGTTTTAACAAAATAATTTTGCAAATGACTAATGACGAGGTAAGTAAATTTACGAGTTCCATTTTTATTGGAAAAGCAGCTGTCAATGATATCAAAAAGCCTGAATTTTAATATATCGTGGGGAATGTTGTAATGTATAACGCTGAAAAGTTTTTAAGCTGTTGATTTTGGTAAAAATCTTGTGATTTCAAATTGTCTAAAAGTTCTATTGATTTTTTTTAGTATCCATATCTGATTCACACCACTTCTTGAATATATGGTAGCACAGTACTCTTGAAGTTTTTCCTTCACTACTGTCAGTATCTTAGTTAGGAGTAACGAAAGTGGCTTGGTTGAACATTTACTGGAACCCGCAATGTATCTTTGTTTATAAGGATTCTTATGAAGTTTCGGAATCCAATATATATAAGGTATAAGGTCATATTACAAACGTTTTTCATACAAATTGTTAATCCAGAATTTATACAATTTTTTGACGACGGATTTTCCCATTATTTCCCGATCATGACAAAGAGCACTTGGCGGGTGTTACCGATCGGCAGAGGAAGCTCTCTTCCACATGGTACCTTATCTCACCTCTGATGTTTTGAAGGCCCATGTTTGCTCTGCTCCTATTTTGTTTTGTTTATGAACTTTTGATATTGAATACTGTTGGTTATTTTTACATGTTTCATTATATTGGTCTAACAATTTCACAGTTGACGGGCCTGCCATAAGCATTGTTTGACTGCATCGCCACTCTGCTACCCCACAAGTTATTCTTCATCGTTCAATATCGGCAAAATGGAAATAACCGAAGTTTAGAGGTGCAAGAGTTGCCGCTACTAGTATTTGAAAGACAGAGACACAAGAAGAGTATACATTGTTATTTTTTGTTCAAATTTGGTATGCACTTTTTAAATGTTCCTTATTATTTTGTGTAGTATATATACTGGCTTTATCACTCTGAGGGTACCAAGTAGGCATTTGACAGCAAGATTTAACTATAACTAGTCTTAGTTCTTTGCAATGTCAAAATTGTAGGGTGCGGCCACAATTAGACAATTAGAGATCATGTTACACAGAAAGATACAGAAAAAAGTTAAAATATGAGGAAAAACAACAAGGACCTGATTTTCCCTAGTAGGACAAATATGCAAACATAGGTTGAGACACAATATGGAGAAGAAATTTAATATATAAAAAGAGAAGTAGATTCCATTAAACTATATTCAAATACAAAACTTGCTTAAATTGTGCTGATACGTTTTCAATAATAAAATAGGATGGGACTAATTTCTGGCGAAAATGAATTTAAATGAAATTTCCACAAAGAGAATAGTTTACAACTTCTCGGACATATGTGTTACTTTTATTTTGTGATCAGAAGGGTTAATCTCCTCAAACACTTGTCAAATAGGACAAAAAACACCAATTATGAAATAATGTTGGAAAAATCCCCATAGTATCCATAAAACACTGTAGCATTTCTGATCAAAGAGATTCTGCATGGAGTCCATCTGTTCACTGTTACAAAGGAATATATAGGAAGTATTATTTTAAAAAAATATCTTCTCGAGAGAATAAACGCTGATACAGATCCATCAATTTTCCCAATATTGGAGATAAGATCATTTGCTTCAAACTGCATCCTCTTGCTTCCCTTTCCTTTGGTCCCTTTGTTATTTTCAGAAACTCATTGACTTACTTAAACTTAAGCCATTTGTTGGCCACGTCCGATTTTAATTCATAAGTGAAACCATTTCGTGTGTACTTACAATATCTTTCAAGTTTATAATTGTGTATATAAATTAAAGCAATTGATGTTTTTAAACATACGAGGGTTGTCCGTAAAGTTCGTGGACAAGCTAAAAATGAAATAAAACTTGTGTTATTGATATTCATTATTAGCCTATTTCTAATCCTTTACTAAATGTGAATTGAAAAATGCAAAATTTAATTCAATTTCAAATGTATAATTTCAATTATGGCTTCATAATTAGACTTGGAATGGAGACTCGGAGCACCGCAAAATTTTAATTGAAAAATTAATTATCACTTTATAAATTTTATTTGTATTATATAAAATTCCGCAAAAATCTGGAAGAATTTTATATCATGAAGTTGACAGAAGTTAACTCGTCAAACCTGCAAAATTTGAACGTTCAAAGTTTCAAAATGGCTAAGCAATCAAAGTTAGACCATATTAAGACAGGATCGGAGTTTTTCAAAAAAAGGACATTTTCGCAATAGGTGGAGCAGTGAGCAGTGATAAAATGTTGCATAGACATCCGGAAAACACCTATCGAGACCGATATATTCTGTACACAGTCGGGAAACAT